TCAATAAAAACCATGTGTACTGTCGGTGCAACTGTCGCTGAATGATCCGACAGTCACATACCACACACCCAGCATGTGCGATATCCGACTCATCAACACCCAATATCAGAAGGTATGACTATTCTGTTCCATCAACCTCCAAAAAAAAATTTGTTTTTTTTATCCATATTTTGTCATTGCTAGTAAGTTTGTTTTCTTGTTTTGGTGCCCTGCCTTGACAAAGTGGTACATGGCATTTAGTGGTCAAACATCCAGCCAGTTAAGATTTTTTAGCCCAACAGTTTGTTATCGCTGTTTCTCGGGAAGTACCAGAGGGATCTTTCTCAAATTTCATATGTAGGTTCCCCTTGTTCCCTTGTTGTGCAGCAGTGCCTGAAATTGACGTTCGCCTACTCGCAAATGGCGGTTAAAGTCTTGCTTGTGCGACCAAAAGACTGTCGAAAAAATTAATGAATAAAAGAAATTATAGTCCCTTCCACATTAACTGGGGGGGGGGGGGGGGGGGGGGGGGGGCAGTACATTTTTTTAAGTTGTCATTACTTCGATTTGAATCAAACTGTCCGTGATTTAGAAAATGTGATAATTGTTTTTCTTCAGATTTTCTATATAAATACTGCCAGGGTGTCTTCTTTGAGGTGCGAGTTTTGTGTCTTTCTATTTGGGAAGACCTGAATGGAGTAGATCATGTCAGGTTTTAACTAGGGTGGAAGAATTAAATATATAATGTTTAATTCTGTTTTACATATTACAAACATTGTCATGTTATATGTAATTTAAATGTGCTGAAGCATTGTGTTAAATGCTGAGGAAATATTTGGCCCAGTGCTTCAAATATTTTACAGAATACTCGCCCAAAAAAAGATTTTTTTATTTGGAAGTTTTAACCTGATATTAGGATGTTGAAAAGAATTTGTTTTATATTGTTAAAAAAAATAATGGAAATGTCCCTGTTAACACATACAAGGCGCCGATATTTCACATGGAAATGGGGGAACATTAAGAATTATAAGGTATTTAATTGTTAAGGTGATGAAGCAGTGAGAGGCAGTCTGTTTCATCACCGGAGTGTATAATCAGTCATTCCAGGGGTGAGGGGACTCAACATAGATACCCACTCATTACGGAAGTCAGGTGGTCCTGTGACCCAAGGTAAACAGCCCCAAAATCTGCACCTGTTATACAGATATATCACCTCACATCAAACCAGGCAAGGAAGCAGGAGGGTTTGATTCCGTCATTCCAAAACTGATCAGGGATGAATACAATATTTGAGGAACTGTTTATATATGTAAAGACATATAGGGAGATGTGATTGTATCTTAGTGAATCATCCATTCATTGCCTGCTGTGGGGGAAATCAGAATAGTTTTGTTCTTCAAGAAGATAACAGACGGACTGGAGTGAATAATTAATGAGTCTCTAAGATCTTTGATTCTTTCATGTTATTAAGATTTTGGATTTAGTTCTTGGTGAATTCTTTCTGTGTCTTAAAATGTATATTGAGCATATCTCAAGTGTTCAGTATGACAGGTAAAATTTGGTATGGATAACTTTCAGCCTGATGGATATCAACAAACATTTTGAATGACTATATATACCTAGCTAATGACTATGCACAGAATAAGAAGACAAAATATGTTGTATGTAGTTTAAAACAATGTACTTTTGTTCTAGACAAGAGTTGATGATTATAACATTTAAGATATTTAAAAAAAAATATCCTGAGATGCATTAGTGACACAAGTATTCTATAAATCATTGTGGAATCAGGTGTTGCCATCAAATGAAGGAAAGAGTTTAGATCCCACAGGAAGTTTGGTGGTGAGCATGGATGTATGTGAATGTGAAAATCATGACGGAGTATATGAGTACTACATAACAAGGAGAGGGCAATGTCACCTCATCTGGCAGTCTAACGGGGGCCGGCAGCTCTTAGGGCAACCCCAGACACTTCACCTGTTTGTGGACCAGCGAGTTGTGCCACGCAAAAATCATGTCAAGTCTATGATATGTAAATTTGAAACTGGAAAGCATAAAAAGAAGGTAAAAATTATTACAGCTGAACTGTGATATAAATTATTCTCCCATATATTATGATTCACATTTATGACAATTGCATCATAATGTAAATGAAATTGTCTATATCATAATGATTTCAAGTGCATTTTATGAACTCTGTAAGCTTGACTAGGGATGGGGGCATGACCTTTTATAACATGGAAACAGCTTTAGGTGTACCAATGGTTTCAGTGTGTGACAAACAAGGAAAGCCTGAAGATGTTTGAATCTCTCAAAATTTAACTGTTGCATGATCACACAGTCCTAACAAATGTTCAAACTTGGTCCTTGTGTATTTTTCAGTCCCAAATGAAGTAATCAAATATTTAGTCAGTTTGACTTCCAGGAATTTTAAAATGAACTTAATTCAAATTACTGTTAATATCTTTTTATATCCTTCTAAACTGTACAATGAGACCTATATATATGTTTTTTTGACATATGATGATGTAAGTTGGTGTTGAAACGGATGAAAGATAAATTTGGGAAAACCTCTTTGTCTATGAAGGAAGGAATTTTTTCTATGATGTCAGCCCGAGATATCTATTTTAAGTTTACACAAACTGAGTGACAATTATGGTTTAATATATACCCTAAACAAGAATGCTTTGTGAAATGTCATTACATTTACGGGAATCGTTATTGAGATGAACAATATTCCTTCAGATGTTTATTAAACATGGTGTTTATTGGGCATTTATTGCTGAAGGCATGGATTTAGCTTAATGTTGACTTTAGTTTGTATCATATTCAGCTTTAGCAGTCAACTTTAGTCTGATATGTAATATGTCTCCAGCCTTGACAAGTAAGTGTACACAACATAAGAATGCTATCTCCCAATTGTCTGACTCCAGGTCTTTTTTATCATAAATTATCTATTTGCCATTTGAGGCAATACAAATTATTGATATATGGTTTTGACCGATTGATACACACATTATTTTTAAATATACATATAATTTCTGAAACTTCATTTTAGATAAATATGTTTATTACAGCGTTGACTAGATGTCATCGATCAATGTTAAATAAATAAAAACCAAACCTGTCCCAACCAGACATAAATGGAAATCAGTAGATTTACTATAGTGTACTTATACCACATAAATGGAAATCAGTAGATTTACTATAGTGTACTTATACCACACATCATGTAATTAGGTCATTTAATACAAATTTTCTTGATTATTCAAGATTCTGTTGAGACAGGCTCCACTTAAGAACTATTTAGTTAAGCTTGCATATACTTAAAGATTTGAGTAAGGTTACTAAAATATTAGCTGTCAGAATGTTATACCAGGGGGCAGGTGAAGTTATTATGGTATCAATATTTCTGTCTGTGAAGAAAATTGAATTGAATTAACAAAAAAAATCTCTGCAGATAAACGCCTTAAGCTATATACATATAATGACTTGATGTGTGTACATGATGATTCATTTAAGGTGTGTCCTATATGTTCAGAGTATTTATAGTGCACCGATGTGTGTGTGATCTGGTAATAACACCTGATAGAGGTACCTAACACATCTTATCGTAATCTTGATGGTAACCTATTGGGTACTGATACACCGACCATTAACGGCCAGGTGAATTCAGTGTCCATGTCTGTCTGACAACTGACCACATGAACATGAGCTGATTAGGCCCACCTGTCAGCTAGTCCATACAGTCCTGTCATTGTAACCACTGTTTTATGTCAGCCCAATGGAAACTTTTCTATACCTACTGTACTGGTCATTTGTGTATTACATTGGTAACCTGTCCTTGTCAATGGTCATTTTTATGTCTCAAGGACACCAAACACATTTGTTATAAGGATTTTAAACGTTTGTTGGTCTGATATCTAATGATTCCTTTTAATTTGCCCATTATAGATACATCTGTGATTTGAGGTGTCATTATAAGCCTTATTTATGCTGTCAAATTATGTAAAATTAGTTGTTTTATCGGCAGTAGTAGGCGAGAGGATATTTAACATCACAGTGGCAGTAGATATGGCTTTATCATTTGAACTGTATAACCAGGCATGTTATTGACAGTCAGTTGTGTACAGGTTGTTTGGGTTGTCATATCAGACAGCTTCCATGTAGACAAAATGATGGATCATTCACAGGACACCAGCTTGTGTGCTTGTCCAATGGGAAGGTCACAGTGGTCACTGAGAAGGTCATAGGCCAATTGAAATTTATTGAAACGGATTTCCAGAAATTATTCCAATTGAAAATTTGATCTATGGTGGTAAAATAGACAAAATGTTTAAAAAAAAAAGATCAAATTAAATAATCTTGACATCAGTATTTTTGACAAATGTGAGACCTAGTACATAAATGTAAGAAAAGTATCATTTATGTTACTACTACATGTACCAACAAAATGTAAAATGTCTGGTGTTGTTTACTTTGACTGTCCTCCTCATGCAGGGTCATCAATACAATTGCGGGGAGTCTCAACAATGTTCAATTTAATAGTTAAGAGTACTAGATCATGACAAATACTACTAGCCCTTTGTATATATTTTCATCGTTAAAAACCAACCTTTTTTTACTATCCCTTACATAAAATATACCAGTTCTTGGTGTCCTTGGTAGAATTGTATTGTTTGTCTTCATGATATAAGGTAATCCACGCAGTCATACACAAAAGGCCATGTAGAAATTAATAATGAACCATTGTCATTTGTATTAATGGACTCGGACATCTGTAGTTTGCCCTAACACAAACCTCTAGTGTTAACAAATGTTACAATAAGTCATCGGCATTTATTGATGAACTGCACGTTTTGTTTTGTATAAATTTGAAATCTATGCACAAAAGCATTTTTTTGTGATGGGAGAGAACTTTGTAAGGTAGAAAAGCTTGCTTATAATGACAATAGAATAAAATAATCCTAATCTAAACTTTCATCTTATTTTGACCTTCAAACTTTGTTGTGTCTTTACAGTTAAAGATTTCATTCAACGACAAAGCCACTGCCACACACGAGTACCAGTCTGAGAATGCAGCACTGCACGACTACCTCGTCATTCACCCAAAGGAGGAGGAAGAAGTGAAGAAACAGGTGGAGGAGGAAGAGAAACCAGTCATCAAACTGGACGACTTCGAATACGCAGACGAGTCCTCTGATGATGTGACGGAGACACCTCGTAATGGGGGCCCAGGCGACAGTTCTATTCGTAGCAACACACCACTCTCAGGAGCAGGTAAATCAAATACTTTTTTTGCATAATTATATACAGCTTCAACTTTCTTATCTGCTGCCATTGAAATTCCTCATTCATTACCAATGGAATTCCTGTTTCTTACCCGGGAACTTCCTGAGTCCCTACCCTTGAATTTTTGTATCCCTAAGTTTGAGAAAAAATAATAATGAAGTTAAAAAAAAACTTATTTGTTACTCATACTATGTTGTTTCCGTAAGATTTTTATAACAAACAGGAATAGAAAATATCCTTCATTCTTAAGATAGAAGAAAAATAGCAGAATCTTTTGAAGATAATAGAGAATCTGTGGTATTTTGTCCTAATCATACAGGGTTAGTTTCTGACAGGTTGCATTGTATTAATAAAGAGCCCTACAAAGTGTGTCAGTATATATTAGGTTTCAGACGACTGGCCAGCTGATAGAGGAGGCTATGGGTTTAGGTTACTGCAAATTAATCATGTCTGGGATACATAGAGCAGATTACTTGTCCCGTTGTGACTACAGAGCTGTCTATATTAGGTGCATTCTCTCCAGACTTTTTTTCACAGCTTATTGGTCCATCCATCTTGTTTTGCTTAAGAACGCAGTACTTCATAACAGCAATGGAAACTCCAACAACTTTTTGGCCAATTACCATACTGAAATTGTTATTCTGTCATGCAGGAGATTGAATTTGGGGAATTTAAATATACCTGTAATTGCAGTAATTTTTGATGGTCTATTTTTCCAAATGACGGCTCTGGGAGAGTTAAATTAGAATAAGATATGACTTACAACAGTTGATAGAAATTGATCACAAGGAACCTAACGTATGTGTAGAACTTAATTATTAGAGGGTCATGCTAGCGTGGCGATGGCAATTCAGCAAGATGGCACTTCAACGTGTCCTTTATATCTCTATTAATAGTGATACAAAATGTATACTGAATTTTCTATTAATCATAACTAGCAGTGAAGGAAAATCGTAATTGCCAGGATAGTTTCAGACTTATTTTTGGCCCATGATAAGTAGCTAAATATAGTCAAACAATTATCACCATTCATATAGTTCATGCAATTTGCTTGATTAATGGAAACTCTACAGGTTCCATTCTTGATATACATACATGTATATATAGACTGTGCATATTATTGAGGCAAGGTAAAACCTGAGAACCCATGTACTGTAGTGTACACCCATCCTATATACTACACTAAGAAACTTAGTGTGTAGTACATGTATCACTGGTTAACGCCAATCGAGATGGCATTTTAAGCATAAGTAATGCTTTAAACTCAATCAATCAAGTAGAACCCATTTTCAAGTATTTTGATTTTCATTCTAATTAACAAACTAGTTAGATTTAAAGGGGAAAATCCTTGTAATTTGAAATGATCAAGAAAATCAATTTTTATTTTTAAATTTTTAAATCTTCCAAACGCAGGAGAAATTCAACAGTTTTTTAAAATCTTTAACAGGCAGTTTTTAAAAAACACTTAGAAACTTTATCAAATACATGTATTTGACTAATAATAGTTTAACATAGTTTCTTGTATGACAGATCCTCATATTTCAATGACTTTTCCGACAATTACATTATCTTGTAACAAGGAAATAAAACTCCACTGAAGAAAAGGGCAAGTGTGTCATAACTACCAAGTGGGCCTGTGTAGGGTGATCCCCTCTTGATGTGTCATGTTTAACCACAGGGATGATTGACCAAATCTTAAAGGTGGAGAAGAGCAAAACAACAGTCTTACAGGGAAATGGTCTAGACACTGGTATTAACACCAGGAAGACAGGACAACACACACTGTCCACTAATTACCCTCCCAGTATGTTACTGGTGTTCTTTAAATCTCCCGTTACTGTAGCTTACATCACTCCCACATGTAGCTCTTAACAGTTTTCTTTGTTATTTCACACTTAAAAATAATTGGCTCACGTGATATGGCGTACAACATTTAATATTTATGTATATGTGGGTTATTAGAGAAACGAAACATCTTAATTTGTGGGGATTAGTTCCACTTTTTGAGTTTGTTCTATTTATGTGTATGTGGGTTATTAGAGAAACAAAAAATCTTAATTTGTGGGGATTAGTTCCACTTTTTGAGTTTGTTCTATTTATGTGTATGTGGGTTATTAGAGAAACAAAAAATCTTAATTTGTGGGGATTAGTTCCACTTTTTGAGTTTTTTCTTGCATATAAGACTTCTGCCTGAAGCTTGTAGATTATGTAAATATGTTGCAGTAACTTAATTATAAGATGAGTTAATCACTTTAATTTATTCATTCCCTCGTTTAAAAGGGTATAGCTACCAGTATTCAGTTATCCTGTATTCAGCATTTCAAAACAGAAATCAATTAATATGAAGTTTTAAAAACAGATGTTAGGATGTTTTAAAAATGTCATAAAACATTGATTTTTTATCCATAAAAGAAATTGAGATTGTCCTGTTTTCCTAATAATGACGAATTCTTTTCTTATCTATCCATACCAAATAGCATAGGTTTTCCTAATCATACAATTATTAATTCATCTTTCAGGTACATTCGGTGGCTACAAGTCCAAAATGTCTGTCGACTTTGAGTTTGGAATGTCCATGAATGAAGAGCCTCCAGTTGCCTCCCCTGATCCAGACCAAATAGATAATTCAGAGGAAAGGGACCTTCTGCCTATGTCAGAGAATGACACATTCAATTGGACAGACAATAGTAGTGCTGATCTGTTGTTCTAGGTCCAAAGCCCCTAGATCACCCATTTCTACAGAATATAAGTGCTGATCTCCTGATGAGGCGATACCCTTCCAGATCATAAATCTGGACAACACTACGACAGTAGTAGCCATCTTCTGTCATTTCCCTGTCAGTCGACTGGTACAGGTATACAGTACAGAGTTAAAATGCTGTACTTACATTAGCATCACCCATCTAGTGGAAGTACATTTCTGCCAACCTAAGAATATTTCACCAATAGTTTCTAGTAAACTGAAAGTGACAGCAGTAAGAGACTTTCCATTGTAAAGCTATATACTGTGGTTTAGGAGTTCACGCTGGAATCTAGTTAATCTGGACACTTCTTTAAAAAAAATCCTGAATATCAAGTTTTTCTGATTTATTCAACAAAATTTGTTATTTCTAAGATAAAGAGTTTTCTTGGAAAATACATTTTCCAACTAACTCATCCAGATTACAAAGCTTTCCTTGTATAGAGACAATTTTTATCCTTATCTTGTTACATAAATGCTGTTTCATGAACGTGGACATTAGTTTGGAGGAATGCTGAAACAAAACAGGATTAGTTCAGAGGCATGCTGAAACAAAACAGGATCAGTTCAGAGGCATGCTGAAACAAAACAGGATTAGTTCAGAGGCATGCTGAAACAAAACAGGATTAGTTCAGAGGCATGCTGAAACAAAACAGGATTAGTTCAGAGGCATGCTGAAACAAAACAGGATTAGTTCAGAGGCATGCTGAAACAAAACAGGATTAGTTCAGAGGCATGCTGAAACAAAACAGGATTAGTTCAGAGGCATGCTGAAACAAAACAGGATTAGTTCAGAGGCATGCTGAAACAAAACAGGATTAGTTCAGAGGCATGCTGAAACAAAACAGGATTAGTTCAGAGGCATGCTGAAACAAAACAGGATTAGTTCAGAGGCATGCTGAAACAAAACAGGATTAGTTCAGAGGCATGCTGAAACAAAACAGGATTAGTTCAGAGGCATGCTGAAACAAAACAGGATTAGTTCAGAGGCATGCTGAAACAAAACAGGATTAGTTCAGAGGCATGCTGAAACAAAACAGGATTAGTTCAGAGGCATGCTGAAACAAAACAGGATTAGTTCAGAGGCATGCTGAAACAAAACAGGATTAGTTCAGAGGCATGCTGAAACAAAACAGGATTAGTTCAGAGGCATGCTGAAACAAAACAGGATTAGTTCAGAGGCATGCTGAAACAAAACAGGATTAGTTCAGAGGCATGCTGAAACAAAACAGGATTAGTTCAGAGGCATGCTGAAACAAAACAGGATTAGTTCAGAGGCATGCTGAAACAAAACAGGATTAGTTCAGAGGCATGCTGAAACAAAACAGGATTAGTTCAGAGGCATGCTGAAACAAAACAGGATTAGTTCAGAGGCATGCTGAAACAAAACAGGATTAGTTCAGAGGCATGCTGAAACAAAACAGGATTAGTTCAGAGGCATGCTGAAACAAAACAGGATTAGTTCAGAGGCATGCTGAAACAAAACAGGATTAGTTCAGAGGCATGCTGAAACAAAACAGGATTAGTTCAGAGGCATGCTGAAACAAAACAGGATTAGTTCAGAGGCATGCTGAAACAAAACAGGATTAGTTCAGAGGCATGCTGAAACAAAACAGGATTAGTTCAGAGGCATGCTGAAACAAAACAGGATTAGTTCAGAGGCATGCTGAAACAAAACAGGATTAGTTCAGAGGCATGCTGAAACAAAACAGGATTAGTTCAGAGGCATGCTTGAACAAACAAAAAAAGAATTAGTTTGGAGTCATACTGAAACAAAAGAGGAGTGTGGCGGCCAATATCATCTTGTACACTACAGTGCCTGTATGTGTCAGTGATGCTAGTTACACATTACGTTTACATTATCAGGTGACATTCCAAGTTTTATCTTCATGTTGAATGCCTTGTTATGGTTTACTTATACTGGAGGAGTGTCATTCCAAATTGCTCAGTTTCATATGCTGTTAAACATTCAAAGATGGGCAAATTTTAATGTTGAGCTTATTGCGCAGTTTATAATTAATTATTTTTCTCCGTTTCAATTAGAAAAGAGTTCATTTTGTATCAACGTTAAAACATAACCCAAGTCATGTTTGGAGGAATATCTGTAGAGTATCACAGAAACCATATGTGTGTAAACGATATTTTCATTGAGAACAGTTTAGGACCAGTCATCTAGTGGAATGAACAGTGGAGAACTTAGACACATGCGTTACTTTGCTCACTGTTACAAAGATTACCTGTGTGTGGAGATGTGTCAATGTAACATTCAAACTTACGCTATTGTAACTATTGTTATTTGGTTTCATGATGAGTCCCTGAGATACAGTTTTATTCTGACATCTTTGGAGTAGGTTTGTCAAGAGGTACTCCTTGATATGTGAAGGTAGAAATGACTTCTCATCAAACATTCAGATGAATGATAAAAACCAACTTGAGGAAAACTTGGGCAAATTATTTCATTTATTTATTTTTTGGGGGGGGGGGGGGGGGGGGGTGTAATTGAGGTTGGAGATGTTACATTTTACAAAATCTGTTGAAGAAGTTGTCCAGTAGTGACTGAATACTTGACTACACGACAGAGTAAGCTGTATCTCAGAGAGGAACATATCTATATATATACCCATTACTGTAACTCTCATTGGAACCAAAACAACTGAGTATTACACCAGGGACTTCTGTTTGTAATTCTTAGTAAACTATTCTTGTTTAGGGGTAATGTCTAGTAGGAGCTGGTCTCCGGAATCATACAATTTGATCTGGGAATTGTTATTTGTACATATATTTCAACCTATTTTGTTCTATGTAGAATCAAGCCAGTAGCTTATTTATTTCTCAATGTTTTGTGTTTTTAGGAAAAATCAATCCACATAAATTTTTAATTACCATTCTGTAAATGTCTAGCTGTCTCAATATGAGAAAACCAACACCATTAAACTTCAATCACATATTAGCTTTCACATTGTTCATGATAAATATTTCACATTTTTGTGAGAATGTCATGTGCCAATTATAATCTATATGGAAAACGAAAGTAGAAATTCATCCATTTAGTAGTTGTAGAATGATGGCCCAAGAGGCATTTTGTATTGTTGACATATGACAATAAGCAGACAATTTCTATTTAGGTTTAACTTCATCAATATAATCTGAAGTCAAACATCATGGTCACTTGTCGCTATTCATTGTGAATGACTAAAAGTCATGTACCCCATTCTCACGGTGGGACTGCACTGGTTCAGCTGATTTTGCTTATTTGTATTAAAATATAAGCATTTTTGTGTTGACAGATTTATTTTGGACAAAATAATTGTTGTTTTAATTGTAGAACCTCGTACTGATCATGATAACCAAGTTTTCGTTTTGGAAATGAGTAATTTGTTTAGTGAACAATAAATGTATGTATTTAATCAAAATTATGTGTGTATTTCGATACAAGGACAAAGGTCTAAACAAATTTATAAATTTTCAGAAATTTTGAAATATTTCGTTTTGAAATTGCCCAGGACTTGGATCATTGATACATGTTTCAGTTTACCTGTATTCATCTGTGAGAATCACTTCATGAATATATTTTAGATGAAGGGGACCATAGTTTTTTTGAGGAAATTGTTGTCTTAGTGTATATTTGTGTATACATGTATATATATGCTGTTTCTCTTGTGTATTGTGTATATTATATATATACTTCTATATAATTGCCAAGATTGTGTATAGTATTCATAAGTATAGCAAATGTTCATCATATTTGTGTCAATATAATTCCTCTGAATTTAAATTGTATTTTTTTTATTTAATTTACATCTGTTATGAAGATTTTTTGTACATATATGCTTACTGTTCATACTTATTTTTTGTATATTTGTTAAATATGTAAATATTTGCTGATATTTTTAATCTCTGAAAGATGTGAGGTGATTATGCAAGGTCCATATTATTAACATGAACACTGTTCCCTGTATAAAAGTAGTAAGTTACTACTAACTCATCTTAAAAAGTACTAAGTTGCTATTAACTCATCTTAAAAAGGAATATTCAAGTTGTTATTGAAATACATCATCTATATAATCAGAATTAGGAGAAAAAAGGATAAGTTAGGCAAATGTGAGAATTTCAAACTCAAATTTGTACAAGGTACAAGTGAATACATATTTTCTGTTTGTAATAAACCAAACTTATTAACGTGTTATGATATAGTATTACATATATGAAATGTAATTTTAGATCACAGAAATCAGTAAAAAAAATATAGTAGAACTGGTGCAGCATTATTTTACTTTGCTCTCATATCTTACTCATTTAAAATATTCTCTAGGAAAATATCACTTACAGATCCAGTACAAGTAAGGGGAGACAACCTAAAGACACATCTGATCTATAGACCAATAATGATCTTGTCAGAAAGAGGATCATATTGACATAAGGCAATTAACTTACTTGGTTGTAGGAATGTATGTCTTTATGATAATGCTGTTGTAGTATTGCTTTTAAAGATATCTGAACTAACCATATATTTGATAGAATTTTTGCTAGGAAATTGTTAAAAATATTGTATTAAAACGTAATACATAATCATCATATATGTGTTAATTTTCTACAGGGAAATCATTAAAAAAGTATCAGATAAAACATTTATTTCCAGGTAATACCATATATTTTATTGAAATTTTTACCAGGATATTAGGAATAATTATTAATAATATTAATTGCATTATTGCTTCACAGGCTCCTGTCCCTGTAGTGTTTATTCCCTCGCCAGTGTCTCTTATATCCTTGTGTTTTACACACAGTAATAATACAGTGTCTAATTGTCTCAATACATTCCTTATACCGGTACATCACAAGTCCCATAGCCATGTTCAACTTACATTGAGTTCATTCATTCTTACAGAACATACACCTATTTATAAGCTTTTAAGTATCATAAGTCTTTTTTATAGATATATTTTTTAAAGTTTGACGTTTAAATGATGTCAAGTTTGGAATGGACTTTTTTCTTCTTTGTTCACTGACAGTTTATACTTTGTAATCACCTGTAGAATGAGCATACTAACAGTATGATTTCAGTTGTACTTTCCAGAATATTTAAGTAGTTTGAATGTTCAAAACCTGACAACTATTAGCAATAAGTTATAGTGAATTAAATAAATGCATGCCACTTGACAAAAACTCAAGTGAGCTTATAGATTGTAAAGTAGAAAAAATACATGCTTATTTCGGATTTAACATTTATGCATTAAATTAATTCATTGAAATTTTAAGAAGATATATGCTTTGGAAGATAAAAAAAAAAAACTACTGGATCTGTTTTGATGGTTTCTGATTTCCAATAGCTGTGCTTAGTTGGTATCTTTTAACAGTAGCTAGGTAGGGAGAAGCTTTATACTGGTATCCAGTGTGGTCTATCCTAGTTGTCATTTCTATTGGTTAAGTAGTTTTCATCATCTGTACAAGTGTGATAAAAATTTAACAATAGAATCATTTATGCTTAATGATTTCTGGTGTTTGCTTGACAAATTAGAAATCTGACAACCCAGTGAATTAGATAAAGTAGTTGAAAGGTTCCCCTGATGTCTCTGGTAGAATATTTCTCCATACACCTTAAATTGAAAGTGGTTAACACTGGAATTATGTACATCTAAAAATATTATATATCTGTACCAGAATTATATAAAAATAACTCGTTTTTGTAGCTCAAGATAGAATTTGTAAAATGTATGTACATTTTGCTAGTAACAAGATAATTCTATTAAATATTGTGATCTTTTATATTCAAATGAATTGAGGTATATTTTGATAATTTTGTAGATTTTGTTTTAAATCTAAATAACCTTAGTAAAAAGTCTGAGATTTTGTGTTAACCATCAGTAGTATAAGTTCCTTTTAGCATCTAGACTACCAATGGAAGGGAGATAACCTCCGTTATTCTTATATGGACTACTTAATGAATATTCATGTATTATTTACTGTCTCATTATACCTACTTGTAGCAACCTGTTTACTAACTTTTTGAAGGTTTACTCATGTGTGTATGAAAATATTATACAAACAAATTAAATACTTGTAATCACAATGACACAGTACAAATTAATTCTGAGATGATCAGGAAAAAAAATTGACATTGATTTGAAGCATTTATGAACAGTATAAACTATATAGTATGTAAATTATGTTGTATTGTATGTGTAGGAAAACTCTGAGATTTTAAATGTGATGTATAAAAAGCCAAAAAGAAGTTTAAACAGAGCCAGTGTGAGTAATAAATTCAAGGCAGAAACGTTAAGACCAAACATCAGAGTGTTCTATAGAAATCCTTGGAAGTAATGTCTCATCCACTGTTATTTGTGTGCTGTAATGTTATGTTAGTTTGTGTTCCATTTACCTCCCGTAAAAAAAACCTGGTCGGGTGTAATTAACATATGCATTCTTCAGTACCTTTCAAATTTGTACTATTTTATAGTGAAATTTCAATATCCAATCATAACAGATGTTTGACAGATTTCTTAGTTTGGAACTGTATTTGGAAAGGAACTCTATATTAGCTAAGGTAGCAAACAACCTCACCTGTGGTTGATATTGACAACAACATTGTGTAGAAGGTTTCTGTTTCTGTAGAATGGCTTTCATTTGAATGGAAAGAGATTATTTACACATCAACGTTATACCTTTTCGCAACTTTTCAAAGCTTAACAATATTTTCTCTAGCTTAAT